TGCCCTCCACCCCATCACCCCTGCCAACGGCGGAGTACGGCTCAAACCCCCCCCACCTAGGACTTAAATACAGGCTCAGGGAAGGAGAGCGGCAGGACTCCAATCCACGTGACACTTCCCCCACCCGGACAACGGGAATCTGGAATCAAAAATTCAGGTGTTGTAGCAAAACACACAAGTTTTCACTTCGTGACTACCGAAGTCTCTGTCCTGAGGTTCAGCTCACTGGACTAAGGCCCACTAGGCACAACCTGTCAGGCTGAGGCCTAAGCACTAACCAGCATCACCTCATTTGGCCCTCACAGCACCTATGAGGTGGGGACGATATGACTCTATTTGAAGATGGGAAAAATGAGGCTCAGAGAAGCTGCCCAGAGCAGTGATTCTTTCAAGTCCATTCCACTCCGGGCAAACAGCCCCCACTGCTCTGACCCGCTCTCAGGCCACGTGGCCTCCTGGGCAAGGCCTAAGACACCCAGATCACCACGCTCCCGAGCAATTTGTTTTCCACAGCAGGCAAGTGATCTAAATGGGTTCACAGGAAGCGACTCCTGGGGTTTTATGGAGTGTACTACACAAGAGCTTCCGTCTTTCCCTCTGAACTGTGTATGGGAGGCTGAGACCGAAGACAAGCAGCAAGGAGACCCAAGGACAGAGAGTCTCCATTTCAGTGGCGAATCCAGCTGTGCCCCCAAACCAGCTGTCTTGGAATTAGTCGGGCCGGCTGTATTGGTTTGCTAGAGCTGCTGTAACAAATGGCCACAAACTGAGTAGCTTGAAACAACAGAAATGAACTCTGACACCCCCGGGGGTTAGAAGTCCAAAACTAAGGTGTCAGTAAGGCCGTGATCCCCAACGAGGTTCTAGAGGCGGACTGTTCTTGCCTCTTGCCTCTGGTAGTTGCCAGTGGTCTCTGGCACTCCCGTCAGCTGCAAGCCCCTCTCTCTGCCTGTCATCACATGCCCTTCTTTCTTCTACAACTTCACACTGTCCTCCCTCTGTGCATCCCTACGTCCAAATTTTCCTCTCCTGACGAGAACACTAGTCACTGGATTAGGAGTGCACTCTAATGACCTCACCTTGACTATGTCTTCAGTGATTATTTCCAAATAAGGTTTACATTCGCAGCTATGGGAGGGGTTAGGATCTGAACCTAGGTTTTTGGGGAGCACAGTTCAACCCACAACACCAGCCAATAAATTTCCCGAGCTGAATCACTTTGGGTTGGGTTTTTGATCACTTGCACCCAGAAAGAGGTAGCCAGGATTCACCCCCAGATCTCAGTGGACAACTGAGACCCAAAACTGTGCCACTAACTGCAGGGTCGACTATATGCCTTTCAACCCCTTACAAATGTCAGCACCTCCACTCTGGGCAGAGGCCCAGGGTTATACAACACGCTCAAGGAATATGAGACTGACTGTTATCTAATTAATTAACCAAAATACAAATAGTGAAAAAGGTGAAATTGAACCAGGCATGGTTTATCACGGGGCAGTAGGCTGAGAGCTGGCTAGCATTTTTTATTTGAGAAATAAGAAAGTTACGGATTGTCTGCATGGCTACATTTCAAGATTTCTCCCTGATTTTGAAAGATCACCTCAGGTGGTGCTAGGGACAACATTTCCCCCTCCTCAGATATTTAATTTCCAAAAAAGAGCACGAGTCACGCTTCTTTCACACGCATGGCCGTGTGTACTTCAGGGCCCGAGAGTAGGCTGTAATTTCAGCTTGTTATACTAAAAAGTATGAAAATAAAACTGATCTCTGTAGGATCATTTTAAATGAAAACTATTTCCCAGAGGCAAGCTGAGGAAGCAAAGTGATTGAAGGAGAGCACAGGGCTCTGGAATGGTGATGGGCAGGAAGGGTGATGGAGTGCGCAACCAGGGTGGGAGGCCGGACGTCTGGTGACAGCTCCCCCAGTTCCTTCAGCTGGGTTCCCACGCCACTTTGGAACACCACCAGCCACTGGCCACTCTCCTCCTTGAATCCTACTTGGCTGAGTATCAGATATCTTCTCCACGCCAGACTCAGTCCACACCCAGCCAGCTAAACTTGAGCGGGCAGGGGAGTCCCCTGGGTGGCTGTTTCTGAGAAAAGCAGATTTGAGGCTACACTCCTGGGCACGTTCATGCCGCTGGTGTATCAGTTTCCTGTGGCTGCCATAACCAGCCACCACAAACTGGGTGACTTAAAAGAGAAGTTTATTCTCCTGTGGAGACCAGATGTCCACAGTCAAGGTGTCAGCAGAACTGATTCCTTCTGGAGGCTCTGAGGGAGAATGTTCCGTGCCTCTTCCAGCTTCTGGTGGCAGCTGGCAAACAGCGACATTCCAGAATTTTCACTGTACAACCCTGATCTCTGCTTCCATCTTGATATGGCCTCCCTCTGGGAGTCTGTCTTCCCATGGCCTTCTCCCTTGTATCTGTGTCGGAAATCTACCTTAACTTTCTTTTATAAGAAAGATTAGATTTAGGGCTCACCTGAAATCCAGAATAATCTCATCTTAGGGTCTTTAACTTGATTATATCTGCAAAGGCCCTATCTCCAAATCAGGTCCCATTCACAGCTACTAGGGGTAGGGGGTAGCGCTTAGACAAATCCATGGTGAGGAGGGGGAAGCACACAATAGATTGGGGGAAGGACTTTGAAACTTGCTTTTTTTTTTTTTTTTCCCAAAAACGCAGAGTGACTCTTGGCACTCTTTGCTCCCCAGATGACTCTGATCTCTGAAGAACACTGATTTGGTCGCTGAGGATACAAAGATGAATGAGACATGATCCCCTCCCTTGGAGAACCTGCTGTCCAGTTGAAGGTACAGACAGATGAACCAATGATTAAAATACAGAGTACGACCTAATGATCCCGAGCTCTGGAGTCAGATGGACCAGAATTCTCCAGCTGTGAGGCTCGGGCAAGTTCCCTAGCCCGTCTGAGCCACAGTTTCCTTATCTGTAAAGTAAGAATTAATTCCTACTTTATAGCATTATGAGAATGAGGCTACGTAAAATGCTTAACATTGATGAGGGACTCAAGAAACAGACATTGGCTGTTACGAAAACAGGAAGCACAGCTCTTTGCTGTGTGCCTTCCACATCCTAAAGCCTATAATGATTGTCTGTGGAACGCAAGAAGGCATTACCCTGAAGAAATGCAGCTGGGACAGGCAAGGCAACTCCTGAAACACCCATTTCAGGATCTTGATTTACTCCATAAGCATTTCTGGAGCACCTGCTGTGTACAGAACTCCAAAGAGTGTGTAGGCACTTGGAATAAAACCAAGGAAAACACATGTCCTGGTGGGGCGACCACCGGGCTATACAGTGTGGTCAGTGCAAGGCGGAGGCAAGCCCACCACGGAGAGGCACATTCGACGGCAACGAAGCATTTCCTTCCTTTGGTTTTCCATCCTCTACATTCTGTTCTCCAGCATTCTATGTATTGTGTGACGCTCCCAAACTGTAGCATATGCTCCAGAAATTCTTGGAAGGTGGAAGAGCTTGTCTGTCTCCTCTACCAGTGAATCCCAAGCACCATGTACCTGGCTGCTAACAGACATTCGATAAACATTTGCTGCAGTGGTGAACATTCTGTGGCCATTTCAGAGCCCAACACTGGACTTTTATGAAGAACCACCTCCAGCCTCCTTGACTACGGGGTATGATTCCCAAAGGACCAAGAGAAAAGTTCTCTAGAGGATCTGTCCCTGGACATAAAGCCTGATAGTGGGAAGAGACCCGGGCAAAACAGCGTATCGGAGTCCTGTCTAGTTAGGAGCTTTCAACCAGCAGGCCAAGAGGAAACACACTCAACCAGGGAGAACTTATGGCCTCTTGTTCCTCTTTAGAAATATAATGCTTCGCACACAGTGGATGTGAAGTAGTTATCAGACCGACCTGGAGGCCCAGAAAATGATTAAAGGAGAAAGACAAGACAGGTTTCCCCCCAACAACGGAAGGCAGAGCGCCAACTGTTACACCCTGTATTGTGTGGCAGGAGTGAAGCCAAAGGAGCCCCCAGCTGGCCTTGGGGGGGGTGGCTCTCAGGAGGGAGAGGACCCAATGTTTGGGGGAGGGGGTTTGCTCAGCACTTCTCCGTAAGGTGGCCACGAGCGGCAGGTGAGGACCAGCAACCCACCTGGAGAAGGAGACCCCAGCCCTCCCTGTCACCTGGCCAAGAGGGACAGCCCCGCCCAGGCCACAAAACGCAGGCTGGGCTGACCCGGGAACAGCTTGGGAGGCGCCCAGCGGCCCCCTGGGGTTGGGACAAAAGAGTCTGGAGGGAGACGGCTGGTGTTTGCTGCTTCCAGGGACCGAGAGGCTTGTGCACCTGCTTTTCACGGCTCTGGCGCCGGCGCTCACCTTCGGCGGGGTGGGCCCGCGGCGCACGCGAGCAGGCCGAGCCCGGCCACCGACGCCCCCGAACCCCCACCCAGCGCCACCGCAGGGAGGGCCACGGCGGGCAGCGGGGGCCACGGGGAGCAGGGAGGGCCACGGCGGGGAGGGAGGGCCCAGAGAGGGCCACGGCGGGCAGGGAGGGCCACGGCGGGGAGGGAGGGCCCAGGGAGGGCCACGGCGGGGAGGGCCACGGGGAGCAGGGAGGGCCACGGCGGAGGGAGGGCCCACGGCGGGCAGGGCCCAGAGGACCCCGGGCCGCATCCCGCCGCCGCCTCCACCTTCCGGCCTCCCGGCGCCCGTCCAATCGCCGGGCTCCAGAACAGCGGTGACCGGGGCAGCAGGTGGGGCTTGGCGCCTCCTCCCGGATCCCCGCGCTCCGCTCTCCAATCCCGGGGCCCAACGCCGCCGGGGGGGGGGGGGGGGGGGGCAGGTGGGGGGAGGGGGGCCCCTCCCCCGGCGCTGCCCCAGGGACGCGGCGCGGGAAGCGCGGGAGGACCCGAGCACCGGCGCACCTGGCGGGAGGCGGGGGGGGGGGCGCGGGGTCGGGGTGCGGGTCGGGGTGCGGGTCGGGGTGCGGGTCGGGGTGCGCCTCGGCCTCACCTCGCTCACCAGCCCCTGCCAGTCGCTCTCGGTCCGGTCGCCGTTCATGGCCTCCTCCTGCGGGCGCGGGCGGGCTCCGGGGACGCCGCCCTCCTCTTCCTCCTCCGCCTCCTCCGCCGCCGCCTCCTGCTCCGCCGCCGCCCGAGCCCCGCGCGGCCCCCACAGGCCGGGCCCCTCCGAGCCGCGCCGCCGCCTGCGGCCTCCGCGCTCCCCTCGGCGTCCGCCTCCGCGGGAGGGGGAGGAGCCGCGCCCCGGCCCAGCCTCAGGCCGCAGGCCCGGCCCCACGGCCCCGGCCCGGCCCGACCCCGACGCCCCCGCCCCCGCCCCGGACCCCGACTCCCCACCCCCGCCCGACCCGACCGCCCGCCCCGGCCCCCGCCTCCCCCACCCCGGACCCCGACTCCCCCACGGCCCGGCCCGGCCCGACCCCGACTCCCCCACTCCCCCGCCCCGACCCCGACCGCCCCGCCCCGGCCCCCGCCTCCCCCACCCCGGACCCCGACTCCCCCACGCCCCCGCCCCGACCCCGACCCCGACCGCCCCGCCCCGGCCCCCGCCTCCCCCACCCCGGACCCCGACTCCCCCGACACTCCCGACCCCCGACCTCCTCGCCCTGGACCCCCAACTCCCGCATCCCGGACCCCAGCTCCCCCGCCCAGACCCCCCCACTCCTGATTCCCTGACTCCCCCGCCCCGGAACCCCGACCGCCGACCACCGCGGGACCCAGCCCCTCACCCCCGATCCCCTACTCCTGCCCCCTGCCCCGGGCCAGGCCCCTGGTCCCCAGCCCGCGCCCTCCCCACCCCCAGAACCCCAGGGCCCAGCCTCGCAGGGAAGGGGCGGGTGGGGTCTCGGGGAGCAGGTCACTGCTGGCTCCAGCCCCTGCTCCCCACCGGCACCTGCGTGTCCCCTCCCTGCGGGATCCCTGACCCACTTCCAGAAAGGAAGCCCCCCAGGGCGCGGGCGCGGCAGTGGCTTTGCTCCCCTTGGGTTCAGGGCCTCACTGGCACATGGCGGTGCTGCACGGATGGCAGTTCACATGAAGGAAGGGACCCCGCGTGCTATTGTAGATTTGACATTGTTTTTAAGGCTCTGAACGTTTACTTACATTTATTTCTCAAGCGATCAGCTGTCGCAAGTAGAAAGCAAATGCAAAAATCCAAAGTAAATAGGACCCAAAGCCCTGAGTGGGATGCTGCGGCTCTGTGGGGAGAGGTGTTAAAGACCTCCTGGCACCAAACTGAGACTGCCTCCGGGGAGGAAGGACTGAGGAGCGATACAGAGGGCAGGGGTCCCCACAAATAACTCCCTGGTACCCAAGGTGGTTTTCCCAGGTGTCCCAGAATCCTCTCACAGGCCACCGGCAATCGAGAGCTTTCCGGTCTTGCAGAAGCTCTACCCATGGAGACAAGCAGCCTGTTGAGAGGTTACGGACCCGTTTCACAGCTGTGGAAGCTTCCCCGCCAACATTTACCTATTACTTCTTAGCCGCTGTGGATCCCGCACCCACCCCGTGAGATGGGTGTTACCTTCCTTGATCAGATGGGAAAACGGAGTCTGAAAAACGGAGAAACCGACTCAGCTAGGACGTCTGGCTCCCGGAGGGTCTCTTCAGCATCCTGGAAACCCGAAAGTGAAGCGCCACCCCTGGGAGACCGTCATGCTGCATTTTATTGATGGCCTCGCTTTGTGGGCAGGGTCCTCTGTCAAGTGGTGTCATTAATTCCCTGCCAGCGTCCCAGCCAGTGTCTGAGCTTTGGTTTGAGGCCCGGCCACGTAACTCGCTCTAGCGAGTGCGATGATACAGACCTGCACACAGAGGCTTGGTAAGCGCCTGTGGGTAGGGCTTTATCCCCGCTCATGCTCCTGGGACCCTGTGAGCACTAAACCCTAGGAACAAGGCCAGAGTAGCTTGCTCGGTGGTGGACTCACGACCGACCACCAGCCGCCTGCCACATACATGCGTGGAGCCAATGGCCCCCAGCTGCCACAGAGATGTTCGTGCCTGAGCCCGGCTGAAACCGGCCGGAGAACTACCCCAGCTGAGCCTTGTCCAGTTTGCTGACCTCCCACACGTCACAGGGCTAAACACACGGCTGTTGTGTTGGACGCCACTACGGTTGGGGCGGTTGGCTACGTAACAACAGATAACGGGCGTAGATGGCGACACTACTGGGGAAGGGCCTGGGTGCTCGGAACCCCCCTCGCCGGCTGCCCTCACAAAGCAATGGGCCCTGGCCTCGTGACCTCGTCGGAGGAAGATTCCACGACAGATTCTGGTAGGCCAGGGGCTAGGAGAGGGAGCCAGTCACTAGGCAGCACATTGATTCAGCGCCTGTCGTGTACAGACATCGTGCACCTGCCGGGAATGTTCAGTAACACTGCGCGGTCCCGTCCTGGAGGGCTTGCAAGCCTTACCATCGCAGTGTTAGAAACGGCTGTTCTAGGGGAAACGGCCGTTTCTAGACAAAAGAAGAAGCTAGAATGTAGCCTGAGGCTTCTGGTTTTCTGCCCACGTGGGGCCACCCTAATCCATTCTCTTTCTAAGCCAAGGAGGCGGAAAGAAGTTTCCCCCTGAATGTTTGGGGTTAACCCAGTACCGAACCCTTGTTCCTAGCGGCCTGGTCTGTGTCTCCTGCTACGAAGCAAGGTGCCATCTGCCAGTATACGGCCCCCTGGCAAGCCATCTGGTTTCATCCGACCTGTCGATGGCATGAACCGCAGGAAGGGCGGGCCTAACTTGGTCCACCTGCCTTTCACTGCCTCCTGGTCTGTGCGTCTCTCTCGGCTGGCGTCCAGGTAGGAGAGCAGCCCTTCCCTTCCGGTTCCCTCTCGACGTTGAGGCTTGCAGTAGAGACACTGCTTTGGAGCCTTCCCTGGTAATTTCAGCAGTGGGCAGCCCAGGCATCTTCACCTGAGAGACCACGTTCCTTTAAGACGAGCCCCTGCGTGACTCCGTTTCCCCTATGTGCTTTCTCGTTCCCTGTAGTAAGTCAGCCAGTTATTGAGGGTTTTAGAAGTAAAAATCGGGGAAGCAACTCAAAGAATGGCAAGCCTCTACCCACCCCAGCACGTCGAGGGACTTTCAACTCCGTTGAAACGGCGTCTGTGGTTGCCTGGGGTTTTCCTTAGAGGTTTCGATGCCCGGAGTGCCAGCCCGAACCTGCTTAGCTTATGAGATGTGATTTAATCATGAACCGAGGCGATGGAGCTGCAAGCGATTCTTTTTTATCTCTTTTCATTTATGTAGCCTGACATTGAGTAATAATAATAATTAAATGCAGTTTAAGCTTTTAGGCACCTATACCAAGAGGTCTCTAGATACCTCATCAACAGCAGCCCAGGCCGACAAAAACAAAGCTAATTATATTGTATTGAACTTTTGTCAAAAAAAAAAAAAGAAAAGATCAAACTGCTCACCAACTGTCCTTGTATCTGATAAAAGCAGTACATTAAGTGGTCCAGCCCACAGTCCGTTTGCACGGGACCATTTGAAAACCAGGTGCCTCTGTCTTAAATTTGCCACCCGAGCACTAAGTATTGAAACTTTGGCTTTAGCCTCTATTTTTCACACCCCTCAGCGCTTTAAAAAATCTCCAGGGTCCCAATTTTTCCATATTTATTCATAGCCCCAGGGCCAGTTTTACTTATTTATTTATATGTATGTAGAGCGTTAGAAGAAAGTGCTTAGATGCTTTTGAGTGATGCTTCTCACTTTCAAAAGTTTGAGAGGGTTTTAGATGTGGCAACTCCAAAATAGCTTAATCTAAGAAGTTGAACCAGCAGATACTGATGAAAACAAAACAAAACAAAAGAAAAAAAATCTCTGGAGAGCTGGGGAAAGAAAAGACGACTTGAACCTGTTGTTAGAAACCTAGCCCCTCGTCACCATGTCTCTACTGACATGCAAGATGACTTTGGCCAGGTCCCAACAGCCCCAGACACATGAGATAGCCCTAAAGCTTGTGATACAGCTTCTCCAGACAGTATTTTCAATTCAAATTCTAGCTGCCCAAGCAAAAATGTCAGTGTTCTCATTAAAGAAAACTTAGCAAATCTCCACTTGAGATTTTTGGCTCAGCTTTTCTCTGAACTACACAATTGGGGCAATATTCATGACCACTCCTCTCCCGCAGTCACCTTTCTCCTGCTTAAATTAGGAAATCCAGTCTGATGAGCCTGGGAAGAAAATGATTCATAATTATAGTGGTTTATAGTGATGTATTTATATATATATATATGTGTGTGTGTGTGTATACACATATATATATGAATTTTTAAAAATTAACTCCATTAGAGCCAAGGTCTCCAGTTCTTGCTTTTATCAAAGGAGGGACAGTTAGATCCTACCAGCACCCCCCCACCCCCCAACCCCCCCCCACACACACACACGCCCATTGCTAAGTGCATTTCTTTGTTCTTGATTTTAAATTGGGGGCGAGGGGAGGGCAAAGGAGGGCAGGTCCTGGTGTGTATGGCATGTGGCAGTCAGGCTTCCTGCGGAGCCCTGAGACCTGAGGTCCCCTGGGCCACTGACCTCAATTCTGTAACAGATAAGCCTGCTCTCTTCCCCCTACCTGGGGATGCTCAGCAAAGCACTCCATCCATCATTTCCCTACCAGGGCCGGCAGTCAGACACCAGACAGGCCTGGATTCTGCTGGGGGTTCCTGACGCAGAGCATCCTCTTGTCTGTCTGCCTCCTGAGCTCCTGGGCCCTCTCTCTGCCACAGCTAAGCCCTCCTTGCCCAGCAGCAAACAATCAGTTGCTCACTGCTCCCCTCCCCAACCCCGCTGGCTGCCAATCAGCCAGGCAGCAGGGGGTGGAAGGAAGTTCCACTCCCCGCTGAACCTCTGCTCAGGTGCTCAAATGACTGAGTGGGGCTGATGATGGCCTGGCCGGCAGGGACCCGCAGTTGCCGTCCTGGAGGGGCACGGGCACGGGCCTGATTGGCTGGGGCGTTGCAGGGCAGGGGGTGATGATGAGCCGAGGCAGAGGGGCAACTCTTGGGGTGGAAGGGTCCTGAGGAGGGGGCTGGAGAAGTCAGCAGGGGAGGGCCAAGAGCTGGAGGAGGCCAGGAAGGGAAGAAGGGGACAAAGGGAGAGGCAGGGTCCCATGGGGGG